AATTTTTGTTTCAACAACTGTGTTTTTCTTAACTTTCTTAGGGATTTGAGTGAAGTAGAAGCTAAGCAAAAGACGCTTGAGGAGATTTTTTTATTATTTTAAATTCTGAAATTAGGTGGAATATAAAAGCTTGGTTTTGAATTGAAAATTGATGAGATTTGTTGGTTTTGTTATTTGGCTATCAAGAACGCTCGAGAAAGGGACGGGACGTCTCTACTTCACACTATAAGCTTCCATTTTCTATGTTTGGTGTTTACTTTCTTTCACTCTTTTTTTTTTCTAAACCAAAAGATGAGAGAATGAATGAGAGAACGAATCTGATTGTTGTGGAATTATTTTTCTCTTCATTTGTTTTGTTTTAGAAGTTCTCATTGATGAATTATATGTATATTGTTAGCGTATTTTCTATAAAGTTTTAGACTGTTTTAGTGCTAATCTCTTCACTTCATTTTTCTCTTCTTCTAAGTTGGCTTTTTTGTGTGGGCAGTTGTGAATTTTCAAGCACAAATCCCTTCTCTGTTTGATTCTATTTCACTCTCACAGTCTCTCATACATTGACTCTAAGATCGCTTCAGCTTCTTCAATCAGGTATTTCTTTCTCTCTCTCTCTCTCTCTCTATATATATATATACATGTATGCATATATATTATGTTTGGATTTTTTGTTCTCTTTGCTTTTACTATTCAAATCAAAACTTATTTGTCTATATGGTATGTTTTTTTTTATTTACACTACATTATTATATAGATATATCTATATGTATATAGGAATTGTCTCTAATTTGGTACCAGATTGGGGGGTACATGTATATTTCTTTTAAAAATATGTATATCTTTTCTTAAAATATGTATAATGTGATGAGACACTTATAATTTATCTAAACTACTACATACATATTTTTAAGGAAAATATACATATTTTTAGAAAAAATATACATATTTTTAAAGAAAAGATACATATATCGCTCTAATATGATATTGAATTGGAAACTTTACCTATTTATATTTGTATATATAAACTAGCCCTATACTATAAAAATTTTCAATTTTTTGTACAATACAACAGTGTTTCCCGCAACAACGTGCGGGCTTTTGGCTGGTTATTACTATATTCTAAGGGAAACACGTTCTGCACTGTCCATCCGCACTCATTTACTATTTTTACAATAGTGTTCTGACGCTTTTGCCTTTTTTCTTTCTGCTTCTTTCATTTGTGGGTGGTGGGCCTGTTGGTCTTTTTACAGGGGTCTTGGTTTGCTGTTTATTTCTGCCGCGGGTGTTATACATTAACCCCTTCTTTACGATTTTGCCCTTTTTCTTCTTTCCTTTTTTTCTCGGTTTCGTCCTCTTGCTTTCTCCTCTTCTTCTTCTTATGCCCGTGTGCTTTTGTGTCTCTTTATGGGTTTGGGCCTTTTTGTCTTTCTGTTCTCCTTCTTCGTTGGCTTTACTCTCTGGTTCTTTGTAGAAGCTTCTGGGTTTTTTTTCTCAGATAAGGACCTTGAAGAAATAATGGTAGCTTCTGGGTTTTTCTCTCTTCTCTTCGCGGAATCGTAAAGAAATAGAAGCTTCATCGTAGAAGCTTTTAGGTTTTTCTCTCCTCTTTTTTTTTCTTCTCTTTCTGTCTCTCGAGCGATTTTCTCTCTTCCGTCGTCCCCGATCTTTACCTCTGCACCACCACCACTGTCGCCGTCAGCCCTCCTTTGACCACGATCGGATGTGGCTCAATGACAAGGTTTTAATTTTCTTTCCTTTTTTCCATTTCATTTCTATGATTTTGTTCTTTGTGTTTTTGCTTTCCTTGGAAGAATAATTTTTTTTCTTCTATTCATCTTCTCTGAATTCTTTGTTTGGCAAACTGTAGAAAACTTTTACTATTTAGTACTATTTTTCTCCACTTAGCAAAATAAGTACATAACTTTAAAAAAATAAAAAATTTGTGTTTTTCTCTGTATCTGTGCTTTTAGTACAGTGTGATTCACGATTTGCCAAGCTTCTTTCACCCGAGTGGAGCCCTACGTTGTATTCTTCCTCCATCGTTTTGTGTATGTCGCCTCCTCCATTCTGTCGCTGCTTTTTCCTTCTTCTTTTTTTTTTTGGCTTCCGATTTGCTTCTTCTCTTTCGTTTTGGTGGAAATCTTGCATTTGTTTCTTTGTGCCTTTGTTTTTGCCGGTTCTTTTGTGTAATTTGGGTGGAAATTTTGCCACTTTTTATTTTGTTTTTTTAGTTCCTTCACTGATTCGATTTGTGATTTTTTGCTGGTTTATGTTGTTATATTCGTCCGCAACTCCCTCATTCTTCTTTCTTGCTTTTGTCTTGGTTTCAATCGCCATTTTTGTTTGGGTTTTTGCATGTTGATTTTTCACTCTTCGTTTTTTTCCTTTTTTTTCGTTGTTTCTTTTCCTTTTTTTTTGCCTATTTCGTATAATTTTTTGGGGATGCATAACAATATGTGTAGTGTAATTTCCTATTGAGTAATACATTTAATTTTGCTATAATTCTTCTTAGAAGCTTTATTTTTTCTGATTATTGCTGACCTCTGGTGTTTGTATTGCTGGAATTGATGATTTTTTCTTCTTACATTGTTTGAAACAGGATGGAATTTTAGAGGAAAAAAATTTCTTGCATTTTTTTTTTGTTTTTTCCTGTTACCATTTCTTCTTATTCTTTCTCTACGTAAGCTGATTATTGTTTGAGTTATGTTGCTTTTTTTTGGGGATCATAAGAATATGTAAGAATACGTGTATTGTAATTTCTTATTGAGTAATAGATTTGATTTTGTTGTAATTCTTTTTAGAAGGTTTATTTTTTTTTCTGATTTCAATTTTTTTTTGTGCGGGATATTTTGGTCACTCTTGCTGTGGTTGCACGTGGGATGTATATAGATCCTGATTTTTTGCCTCTGATTTATTAAATTGTCCTTCTATCTTTTTTGATTTCATGTATTTTTTTCTGCAGGAATTTTTCATCTGCCTCGCTGTTGCATGCCATATATATGTGAATCCTGATTTTTTTTGCCTCTCATTTATTAAATTACTGAGTTGTAGTATTTGTTTTGCTAATTTGTGTTCCTAGGACGGTAATTTGTACATATCTTGCAGCAAATGTATTAAATGAACTATTCATTTCTTCTTCTTGCATTATCTGAAACAGGCTGGAATTTTAGAAGAAATTTTTTTTTTTCAATTTTTTGCTTTTTCATGTTACCATTTCTTTTTATTCTTTCTCACCGTGAGATAATTACTGTGGGAGTTATGTTGCCTTTTTTATTCTTCTTTTTTAATTCTAAATACAATATTTTTTTTATCAGCTAATAAGAAAATTTTGAGCTCTTACTTTTTCTTAACCGACAATCTTCTATTACGTGCAATGCAATTAGAGGTTATTTACTATTCATCTTAACATTTTTATTCTTTATTTATATATGTTACTGTTCTCTATGAATTTGTTATCTGTATTCTTGCCCCTTTTCCTTGCACTTGACGTTATTCCCTTTCTATCTCACCTGTGCTCATTTACTGATGTGGTCCATTGTCGATGATTTACTGCTTTGTTTTTTCACTTGACCTTTTTTCCTTTCTATCTGACCTATCTTCATTTACTCCTTGAGTTGGTTGTCTGCTCTGTTTTATCATCCTTCTATTTTTGAGTACCTGTATTGGCCCCTGATTGGTTGATATCTTATACTGAGAGCACTGTTACAGCACTTCAGGTATTCCTAATAATAACATAGTGAGATATTTAGATGTATATTTTGACCTCACATGTTTTAGTCTTAGTTGATTCTTTTTTCCTTTTTTGTTCTTTTTTTTAATGGCAATGGTGATCATAAATGATTTTGATCATTCAAAAATTACTGTGACTATACCTTTTTTATTTAGATTTTGAATTTGTCAATATATTCTTAGTCAGTGCTTTTGCGTATGTTTTTTAATGGTATTCAATATATTGTCTTCCTATACTATTATTAATATGCTAGTTTTCTTTTGTTAATTTTGTTTACATATAACTTTGTCACTTAATGAATGAACATTGCTGCTCTAAGAAATTCATAAAAATTTCTCTTTATAAGAAGTTGATAAAATTTTTTCTTTATTATTAGTAAATGTTGTTAATCTATGATTATTTCGTTCTTCTCTTTCTCTTTTTATAATTAGTGTATAGTCCTTAGTTGTTAGCTTTAGTGAGATATTTATATGTATATTTTTACCTAACATATTTCAGTTTTACTTAACCCTTTTTTCCTTTGTTGTTTTTTTTTTTTTTTTAACGGCGATGATGATTATAAATGATTTTGACCCATTGAGTATTATATGATTTGTTCAAAAAGAGTGTGCCCTTTTTATTTGGATTCCAGATTTGTTAATATTTTCTTAATCAAAGCTTCTGCTTCTCTCCTTTTTTCCCATTTTCCTTAATTTATTGTTTCTGCCCTTTTGGCACTATTTTATTCAGAAGTTATTTACAAATAGGTTACCTTTTTCTTTCTATTACTCACTTTTAATTTTTTTATTTTATTGTTCTTATCTTTTTAACATTTAAAACTGAAACATTATATTTTACTATTTTTCCATTGCTTCTCTCATTTTTTTTTTGCCTTTTAAAATTGAACCATTATATTTGAACTTCCCACTATTGATTCTAATTTAAAGTACTATAGATTGTATAGTGGGAGAACGGATTTACCTTATTTTCCCCTACCTTTTTCCATATCTGAGTATGAACTTTTTCATCTTAGTCCCGTTTATTTCGCTGATTCGAGTTTAAAATTCAAGTTTTGCTACAGTAAAAAGTTCTCACAAACAGTCACATCTAACTTTTTTGCTACAGTAAAATGCTATAGTAAAAAGCTCTCATATAAAATCACATCTCAACTTGAATTAAAAACTCGAATCAACGAACTAAACGGACCCTAAGGGGGCGTTTGATAGAGGGATTCATTCCCTGATTCGAATCATGATTCGTGATTCACTACAGTATTTTCTCTCACAAAAAATACACGTAAATCGAAAATGATTCGAATCACATGATTTGAATTCTCCAACCAAACGAACCCTAAGTATTAGGGTTGTCATTGCACTGTTTTGCCACTTGCATTGGTATTTGGGCTGTCATTGCACTGTTTTGCCACTTGCATTGAAAAATTTTTAGTATTTTTTTAGTTCAACATATCGTTGTACTCTTTTGCTTTGGCATTGTAATGGCCTCTTTTGTCCTTGGATTTGGATAACTGGCCATTTGATGCAAATGCAATCTTACCTTCTACTTCCTCTTCCATTTTCTTATATTTCCTATTTTCCCTGCTCCTTTTATGCCTGATCCCCTTTACACTTGGTTTTTTCTTTCTTACTGTTTTATGCATATACTAAAGTCATTGTTTTTTCCTCTGTTTTAACTCACCTGGTAAGTTTCAGACAAATCTAATTTTGCTCTGCTTATTTACTATCTATGATATATTGGTATTGTAATTGCATTGTTCACACACTCACGGATCACTATTCATTATACAGTGCACGTTTTTTTGTTTTTTGTTTTTTGTTTTTTTTTTTTTTTCCATTTTGCCCGTGCTCTCTTTTGTTTCTTTGCTTTTGTGCTTTTTGTGTGGACTTTTTCGTCTTTTTCCTACACATCTGGAAAGTTTCTGGTCCTTTCTTTTCACTTCATTTTTTCCTTTCTGTAAAAAATGCTTCCCTTCTCGATGTTTTTTTCTCCTTGCAACAGCAAAACTTCCAGTACCGCCATCGTCTCCTCCACCACCCACTCTTAGGGATTTCTGCTCCCACAAAATCTCCTCCACACTCCTTCTCAGCGCTCCCAAACCCGCCGCCATCACCAGAAAACATAACACCATTGAAACTAGCGACAACACTCCCGCTACGACTCTTGCTTTTGATTTCTGATTTTGGGTTTTTTTTTTTTAATAAAGTTTTTGAACATCAATTGGTTTCAGAAGCAACCAAATGGGAACGACGAGGTAAGTTTTCAATCTTTGTTTTGGTTATTTTTCCATCGTTTATGAAAATAGCTGTGGTTACGTGTCTATTAGTTTGGATTGGGTTTTCCCTGATTTGTATTGGCTTGACTTGGCGAGAACAATAATTCATTGGATTTCGTCTCATGAATAGTTTCATTTTTTTTAATTTTAATATTATTCCGAATATATATATATATATATGTGTGTGTGTGTGTTTATAATTAGCCAATTATATTCATATCTATGTATAATTGATTAGCATAAGATTATCTAATTAGGGTTTGATGGTTTTTGTTCTATATATAAGACTGAATTCCCTTAAAGATTTCTCCTTTTTTTTTTTAATTTTTGTAATTGATAATTGGTCCGCCTCTTCTCTTTGGTCGTTCCGTAGAAGCTCTCAAAGATTTCTCCTTCTCTAGCTGCTGGCGTTTAATATATTGTGTTTTTTTTGTTAATTTTTTGTACATTTTTTGCAGTTATTGTTGGGCTTTTTTTTTAGTTTTTTTGGGTTTTTTAAGGTTATAATTTGCCGGGAAAATTGGAGAGAGAGAAAAAAGTGCTTTTATTCAATACCTTCTCTTTATTTATTATCTTTCTCTACAAATATTTCATTCCCATTCACGGTGGTGTTCTACTTATTTATTTGTTTATTTGTTTTCTTTTCTATACTTAGGATATCTGCCAATTCCTATCCAAGGAGTATTTGGAAAACTCACGCCTACACAGGTAAATATTTAAAATTTTCTCAGTTTAACTATTTGATTTTCCCAGAAATTTTCTACAAGATGAATGTTTGCTCTCCCTATTAATTCATGTTTTGAATTGTAAGTCGTAATTGAGTGGAAATTTATCCCTTTTTTTTGTCATTCCGGTTGTAACGATTCATGAATGAGGCTTAATTTAGGTTTATTTTTGTGTCTCTGATGGTTTTGCATGAATTCTTTATTTTAAGATGATTATGAGATTTTTGTTATTTCCTCTGTTTCTTGCACGAAAAGCTTCATTTTTGCAGAGAATCTCAGATTGGAGGTGTTGTGTGTCGTTGCTTATGAAATTAGGATCCTTGCAGACAATGTGAGCTTCAAAATTCCTTTTTTCGGTTTTATAATTAATTGAAGGCTGGTGGTTCTTTCCTCATGAAAGTCTTTGGCGTTCTTGCTGTATGTTTCTCTCATTGTGCTTTGTTTCTTTGTATATTCTTTATTTTTCTCTACCTTGATCTCTGATTTGATCATTTTTCTGCCATAATTAATAAGAATGAGCTATTTGTTTATGCTTATTGCACCTAGATGGATATAAAATTTTTGAAGACTTAGACAATTACGATTTTTTCTGGCCAATGATTGTGAGTTGTGCATTAAGAAGTTGAATTTGTGTAATGGTTAAGTTTCTTGAGTTGTTACTGTTAATGAGTTAATGGAGTATTATGTTCTAGGTAAAAGGCACAAAATGCATTGGAGCATTGTACAGACTTGCCAGCTCTTTAAGATTTACTTTAAGGTGATGATATAATCCATTCTTCTTAATGTATATGTATTCTGCAGATATTCATTTGCAATTTCTGTTATGGTTTATTATCATATCAGAAAGAAAAAAATCAGGAAAAGTATTAACTCGATTCAAAGTGTTTATTTATGTTTGAAGTGCTTGAAATGCTGCAAGCAAGATTAGCTACATTGTGAAAATTGAGAACTATTCTATTACCTTGCAGCTTGGTATAATTCACCTTTTTCGCAGTGTGATAAGAAGTATTGAAAGTGCCCGTATGTCTAATTTTGAGGAATTTCTTAAAAGAGATAAGATTAGAATTGATTCTCTCAAGTTGGTATTTTGACACGTTTCATACTTTGTGTTATGTATCTGCAAGAAAGTTCACTGTTATCGAATGTTTATTCAGGTTACCTACATGTATTATACGGATCAACTGGAAGTTTTCAACGAAAACTTCCCATCTGTAAGTAAACTAAATCCTTCAAGATAATTATATAAGTTGGTTTTTCAGTCAATTGTTATAGTCAGTTGTTGATGTGGAATTTCATGTTACTTAGAACAAGTGGTGCAACAAAGTGGAAGTAGAGGTTATAAATCGTGCTGCTTCATGTTTTATTCTTGCTTAAATTTAAGCCATTTCGTATGTTTTTCAGAATTAGAAAGAATGACGTTGTTTAGTTTACATCCTTATCGAGAACCTGTCATTAATTGGGATGAGATAATTTTTTGAGATAGATTGCCTCTAATGATGGTGATGTTTGTATGTTATGATGGATTGCAAGGTAAATTATTACGGGGAAGCAAGGTGAATGTCACTACTTTCTGAGATAAATGTTTGTTGTTAGTTTATGTATTTTTAAAGACTGATTTACGTGTGTTTGATTATATTGTGGAGGATAATGATGTTTTAAGATGATGTAATTCTAATTTTCTCATGAATTTTTGTCCTTATGAGAGTTATTTATTTCTTGCTTTTATTTTTCCTTTTTTAATGTTTTGATGGAATACTTTGCATTAAGAGCATGAAAAAATTTAATTCTTTTCTATGTTCACCATGACAGTCAAGGAAAAGTTAGTGTAATTCAGTTGCTGCACTATTCTGGTTTGTTTCCCAAAATTAGTACAAAGAAGAGGGATTTCTGAAGGTTAGTCTTGAAGTATATGATTGAATCTAATGAGCTATCTTGGTTAGTTTTGATGTTAGAGTACTACTTTCTGAAATAAATATTATTTGTTAGTTTATGTGTTTTGAAAGATTGATTTCCTGTGTTTGATTATATTATGGACGATAATGATGTTTTAAGTATGTATAAGAGTTGAAGTCGACGTTGTAATGGTATGATATAATATTGTTGGTAGTGGTAAAAGCTCTTGGGAGACTACAGATCTCTATTTGTGTTGATCTTATGCACAAGCTATTTGCATTATCGTTGCATTGAAAGAGCTTGATTTGTCGTTTGGTGTATTAATATTATAATCAGCTTTGGCTTTCCTAAGGCACATTGAAGGAAATGATATGAATGCATATTTAAGGTCTTCAATTATGTAACAGAGTGATTTATAGTTAGATCAAGAGTGCTTAAGTTGGGATAAATAACTTTGAGGATGGATGAAGGTCAAATACAACTTTTTGTTTTTTGCATTGGTTTCCTGTGAAATAAGGTATGAAATGTTGAAGCTAAGTTAATAATTTGGGTTTTGATGGAGTTTCATTGAACTAATCTAGGTTATCGACCGTTCACCCTCCAAGTTTGAAGAACGCTTCAGATATGAAATTAGGTCTCATTGAGTCTCTGCTTTTGGTGCCTCTTTCCTCTCCATAATTATTGTTAAACTTCTTGATGTTGCCAAGGTAATTTTTTTTTAATTTTTTTTTTAATTTTTTCGGTTCATATTAGCTTAGCTTAGCTTCATTTTACCCTAGATATATCTATTTATCTGCTGTATTAGAGCTTACAATGTTCATATTAGGACTGTTAAGGAAAACAAAAGCTCTAATACATTATAAGAAACTTCTAACTAGAATATTATCTAGATACATCTATATATAGATATGTATATATAAACTAATTCTATACTATAAACTTTTTGTATAATTCCAAACTTTTTTTACTTTCAAAGTTAAACAACTGTAGGCCCATAATTATTTCTATGATAAATCATTAATTCATTTGTTTAATCTAACTCTTCTCTTATTTTTGTCAGATACACCCAAGCTCACAATTATCTTCCTTATTTCACAATGCCAACCAATGAACTTCATGGTCAACCATAATTTTACTTTACCTACTCGTAGAGCATATTTGCCTGCCATACCATAAATTGTACCTTTTTATGTTGAATATATATCTTAACAATCTTTTATTATTTCAGTTCTGAATCAAAGGCAATACACACATTCGGAAAACACCTGGACCAGGTAATATAACTACTTCTAAATCTTTTAATTTACACTACATATAATTAAAGATTTTCAACTTTCTTAATTATTATTATTATTTTTTTTTTAAATTTGTATTTTGCAGTTAACAAGAATAAAAGAAAAAAAGGAAAATAAAAGCTATAATACATAATAAGAAACTTTTAACTAAAATATTATATAAATATATTATATGTATATATGTATATATAGACTAATCTTATAGTAACGAGCGGGCTTTTGGCTAGTTATGTTCGAAAATAAACTGAAAATAATAGACAACAAAATAAAAGGAAAAAGAATAGCAAAAGATATGACTATCTATATTAATATTCAGAAATCATTCGTTAATTTTAATATTAGACTGACAACTATTAATGAATAAGTGTCTATCGAGTAAATTTTAAAATTAAAAGCTTAAGACAATATTGTCATTTATGCTAATAGTTGATAAACTAATATTGGTAATCTATTGACTTACTGTCAGTGTGTGGTCGTGTGTGTGGATTTTTATTTTATTATTATTATTTTTTTTATATTCTATTTGGGCTTTCTCTTAGTCCTCATCATTATGCCCTAAAATCTGAAGATGTGTCCTTCAATGGGACGGGAGATTCTTGAGGTAAAGCTATTGTAAATGTCATCTTTTTTTTTGTTTTGGACATTGTTTTAAATATAATATGAATGTTTTTAGTAATATAGGTGTTTTTCATTTTACTGTATAGTATTTTTTTTTCTAGATATACAGTCTTGATTGCTGATTAGAGCCTATCTTAAATCAAGAGCGAGTTCGTGTTCTTTTAGAGTTGATTTGTTTATGTTATGTACAACATGAAGTCCACGCTAACAATGTTTGCGCATTCTTTCAAAGAGATTGTGAACTTTATGTTTTCAACGAAAATATTACAGGCAGATATCATCCTCAACGTGCCCTTAAATTCATCCTAAGGCAGGGCATTCCAACAGTCACTCAATGCGCTTGTCGAGGATCGTAAACAAATGACATAATAATTCATCATCATTGCAAAATAAATGCTCAATTTTTTGTACACAAGTTTATCTTCAAGTCTTTTATGATGAATAAATGAGTGTTAAAATGAATGATGAAAAACTATAATGGTCCTTAAGGTGTTCATTTCATTATCTGACATGCACATGAAATTATTGAGATGTAAAACTTTAATCTAGCACATCGAATAATCAATTTTAATTATTCATCTGGACTATCAAGTGTTATATCATACAATGTGTTTAACTCACGAAGCAAACGTTATTTTACATTAATAAATTTACTTAATTCTTGCCATAAACCTCATGGTTACAAGTGCTTTTGGAATGTGCATTAATAAGGAAACTTCTTAGTCGTAAATTGTGATTAAATTGCGATTAGGTGCTCTTCACTTTTTCGTAGTATAACCTCTTGAAGAGTTTTCCTTACGTAACCTATGTCCCTTAGCCAATCAAGCCTGACTTTCCCCCTTCTTCTTTTGATTCCTGCCCTGGAAAGCTAGGCCCACTAAGGCTAAATGATTTAGTAAGGAAGAAATAACTCTTTTTGGGCCCTACAAAATGAAGCGAGGATATTGAAAGATGTATAAAATTCATCTAAAGACATTCACATCGATAATATCGGTCAAATCTGGAAGCGGATATACAATCTGGACAAGAATTATTCGCGGATATGGAATACTATGGACAAACAATTTAAAGAGTTTAATATAAAACTTGCGATCCTTATATGAATATTTCATATGAGAATGTATAAAGCTGTGAAATAAATTATGAGTTACAATTAATAAGTTTCTTGTGGAAAATTTATGAAGAATATAAGTATAGGTACTCAAATACAATGGATAAATAATTATATTTCGATAGTTTGATAGTTTATGATTGAGCTCATGAATGCGTTTAGAATTCGTTTTAAAATGATTTTATTTTTTTGTATAAAAATGGAAATGAAAATGTTTTCAATCTCTGATAGAAATCATTTTTAAAAATGCGTTTGATAGTTTTATCAAAAGATTGTTTTCAGTATAAAAAAACCCATTAATGTATTTCTCTCTCTCTGCTCAAGAGAGAAGAAAACGAAAATAAAAAATGAAAAACAACTAAAAGTCGTTTTTCATTTCTCTCCCATTTTACACTAAACTAAAAAATCGTTTTCATTTCCGTTTTTTATCTTTGATTGTGTCAAACGTCGTTTTATAATCGTTTACATTTTTCTTTCTTGAAAAACGTGAAAAATAAAAACAAGAACAATTCTAAACAGACACATATGTGTCTAAAGAAAGATATGTTGCAATCTCAATACAGGTAGATAGTTTATAGAAGGACTTAAAAGGTCTAAAAGATGTAAACCCAATATTTGAACCTTTTCGATACATTCTTTTATCTCGTTAAAAGTCTAAATTTGTATTAAAACCTATGAACCAAACGGTTAAATAGTTTTAAATTGCACACTTTATTAAGTTCAAAAAGATCTTTGTGTATATAGTGGCAATTGAAATATACATACTACTTATTTCTTTAACAATATAAAGAATGAAAGTGGTAACAAATTATTTTCTCTATTTGTTTATATAAGCTCATCTATTGGATTTATTGTTATTTATTGAAGCTCTTTAGTTCATAAGAAAACATTGAGATAAATCTCATAGAAGAATGTTTTATTCACACCTGAAGATTGGAATTTGCTAATTAGAATGTTTATTCATAATTTATATTATGCAAAAGAAAGTTATGATGAGCAAAGATCAATTTTCGGGTACTAAATTTAATACTATAGGATTTTTAGGCCAACTAAGACAAGTCTAAAGAAATAGATGGCACTTTTCTTTTTGATTTAGATGACCTGTTTAATTTTAGTGTCTCAATTGATGTCTAGTGAATTGAGTTATGCCACATCATTTAAAAAATTTGAAATACATTTTAATTATCTTTTCTATACTTAAGTGTTTAAATTTATTAAATAGCATGTCATAATGTGATTGGTTAGACACTAATTAAGACACTAAAAATTAGACAAGTGATTTGAGTCCACTTTTTTCCTAATAATTTGGATAAAGCATCAATTTAGTGATGATTTATTTTTATATAACACTTTTATGGTAAGATATTTTTAGTGATTTTAATGTGAAATCATCAATTAAAAAAAATAAGAATCAACAAAATATAAATCTTGCTGATTTTGGTAAAATTTCACCATCTGCACTGTAAGGTAATCTTTTTCCTCTCTAAATTACGGAGTTGTCTTTTCTTTTTCAAATTCTGCAAAACAAAAGTGGAAATGTTTTTCGGTGGTGGAAGTTATTGTGGCATTTGAACATCCCCCACAAGGTAAAGCTTTTTATTTGGCGTGTTTCAACACATTCTCCAAACTATAAACAATTTGCTGCGTAGGGGTATTATTTGTTAAGCGGTGTGCGCTGGATGTGGAGAAACTAAAGAGACAGATTTTCATGTGCTAGTAGAGTGTAAGGTGTCTAAAGCGATCTGCTGTAATAGTGTTTTTTAGACCAAGATTATGCAGTTTCATGGAGTACAATTACAATACTTACTGTTGGGATTTATTTCTGGAGATTGTTCGGGATTTATTTCTCAATTTGTGTATTGATTCTAATCGTATTTGATTGGCAATATTTTTAGGAATGTTTGGTTGGTTGATTGTGTTTGAAAATAGATGTGCAGCTGACTAGCCTTTTATGGAAGGTCACTAAAAGATCTGGAAACTTGTTTTAGTTTCTATTTTTGTAAGTCAACTATTGATTCAAAGATGAAAAATTGATTTGATTAATTATTGATTGAGATTTGATAGCTAGATGATCTTCCTATGTCGCCTAAGAACGTGTCCAGGTTCGTTTATCAGTTTTGGGAAGATTTCAGAATGAAAGGAGATTGATTCGTCTGGTTTTGAGAAAGTTGACCGTGACAGCTATGTTGCAGTTATTGTTGCAACAAGGATCTGCAACAGATTTGGTTCAGCGAATTAATTGAAGATGTGTCAAGCTATTCACAGCTTGCTTATTTATTAAAAGTGTCCCCTTAAGTCTTGGTACGCCTTTTGATGAGTTTTTGCTGGGTTGTGAGACATGAGTGAGCGCTTGTATTCAAGAGAGATGATTTGAGTATTTTTCGGGAGAAAAACTTAGTTGGAGGGATTCCAATGTTCAAAAGTCGAGGGAATTTCACTGTTTAAGTCCATTGAGAAATTGCAAATTCATAGGCGTCTTCTTAGAGAGGGAGTCTCGGGTACATTAAGTCCAATTGAATTGTAAAAGAGTTCTTAATGGATTGTTCATCATCTGGACGTGACCCCGCGGAGTAGGGTGTTATCAAACCGCGATATCATCTCTCTCGTGTTCTTTTATTTTATGTTTTTACATTATTCATATTGTCTTATAAAATTTTAAAAGACTCAAACTGGTACTAACACTTACTGCTATGCATTTTTAAGGTACTGAAGCGGGATGAATTGGAGTTGTTTTGTGTGGTTTTGTGGCTGGTTTGGAAGCACCGAAATGTGGTAGTTCATGGTGACCAGTCTCGTAGTCCAGAAGCCATTCTCGAAGACGCAGCTCTTTGGCTTATGGAATATCAGGCATATCAAAACTGCGAATAGGGCCGGTCAACTAAACCCTCAACAACAAGTAGTAATGGTTGGCTTCCTCCAGATGGTACATGCCTAAAACTGAATGTGGATGCATCAGCGGTTACAAACGACGACTTTATTGGTGTGTGGCGGTCTCATTAGAGATTCTATTGGTTTTGTGTCGACGCATTCTCAAAAAGTATCTCGGGATGTTTTCACCATTTTATTACGGAATGTTATGCTGTGCTCGATGGATTGCTTTTTGTCAGGGATAGTGCCATTGATATCTCTGTTGTGGAAAGTAATTCTGTTATGATAATTAATTCGATCTGTAACCCTAACATTCTAGGGATGAATGACCTATACTCAATGACATCAGAATTTTGATGGAAGAAATTGGTGGTGGTTCGTGTTGTCATGTTTCTCGCAAGAGCAATGTGACAGCCCGCACACTGGGCAATATAGCTATTCTTTAATCGAATATCTGTTTTGGTTTAAAGAAATTCCTGATTGTATTTCTGTTTTTCTAAGTGCCAATATGGCCTCTATCCCAGTTTTCAAAAAAAAAAAAGTGGAAATGTTTTTACGAAATTCCTAGATCGTTTGTAATTGTTCTAAACCATGTACATACTATACTAATGTGAAAAATGGTATGAATACAAAATTATGGAATTCCAAATTAGGTAAAAATGAGATTATATCTAGCAATATTTTAATTTAATACAAGTTCCATAAAAAAAAATCTAATGCAGAAGAATAAAGAAATACAGAAAGAGAAAATAGTCTTTTTTCTTCTCTTTCTTCTTCTTTTTTTTTTTTTTTTAAATATAAAGGAGAATGATATTTTTATTTTTGATACCATAGAGGAGAAAAAAGTAGAAAAGTGAAACATGTGACGATATGAGGAAAGGAAAATGCCAAATTTCATTGGTATATTACTCTAAAAAAGTTTTTTTTTTCCTTTTTAATTTAATAAAGCTTCAGAGACATAGGTCCCAAAGAACAAAAAAAAAAAAAAAAATTAATAAAAATAAAAATAAAATGAAATTGAGAAAGGGAAAGGGATACACGGAGGAAAATTCACAAAACAAGGAACGGGAGGTAGGAAAGAAAGACGAAATTAGCGTATTTATTTATGAGTTTTGAGTTTCCCTGATTGATTTGGGACTGAAATCAAATATCAAAATTCAAAGGAAAAAAAAAATAAAACAGGAAAATAAAAAAAAGTCGTAAGAAGAACCACTTTGCGATCAAAATCCCTTGGAATCTGTACTCTCTCCTCTCTCTCTATCTCTCTCTCTCTCTCTCTCTCATCCCATCGCAAAAACCTCAGTTTCGGGGCTGCCGTTTCGTTGCTATTCGTCTGTCGTTTCGTGGCTTTCCCTGTCACGACCAGTCTGATCGCCGGAGATCAACCTCCGTCCGCCGATCAACGGCCTCGATTCGGAAACTCCTCAATCGGAGGCGTAATGGTCGCGCCGCCAATCGGTGCCTTCGGGGGTTTCATGGCAGTTGTCGGCTGAAATACCGGGTTCGTTGCGTGTCCGTGTCGTCGGAATTTCGTATATTTCATGGGCGATCTTCGGGATTGGTCGCCTGAACCAAACGGCGTCCTAGTGGAGGAGAGGCCGTCGCCGTCGAATCAGACGGGGGCGATTGGTGCTGAGTACTGGAAGAGAGCGGAGGAAGCGACTCAGGGGATTATTGCTCAAGTTCAGCCCACCGTCGTGTCGGGGAAGAGGAGGAGAGCGGTTATCGATTACGTTCAGAGGCTTATTAGGGGATTTCTCGGTTGCGAGGTGAGAATCTTTATCAAACGAGTTGTCCTTACATATGCATTCTCGTGTTTTTGTTGATTTTTGAATGTTGTAGAAAATTTAGAGCTGTAGCCTTTTGTGCAATTCTTGTTTGAGTGTATTTTCGGTGAACATTGTGGTTCGAGTCAAAATATGATTGTTGGTTTATTGGAGTAATTTTGCAAGTTTTTGGGGGAAGAGAAAAAGAAATTCTAATCTGTACGTGTTCAGTGACTTTTGTCTAATTAGCCTAAACTTAATTGTTTCGACCGTTTAGAGATTTTGGATTGAGTTTGTGGTTCTATAAATGAAGTAACAAGGTTGTGGCAAGATGAAAAGTTAGAATTTTAGTCGAGCCAATATGCCTGTGGTTTCTCTTAACTGAGTTGTTTAGGTTCTGGAATCCTTTCACTTTTATAACGGTGCTCTTCGGCTGGTCAATAGGGCGCATTGCTTTTGCTTCTGTAATAGAGGCGTTGTAATGGACGCGCTTGGCTAACGAATAAAAACCATGGTCCGCTTTCATTGGTGTAGTCCGGTCATTGTGTATCTCTTTCTCCTCTATTGGTCTGGAGTTGGTTTTCTTTCGGTCGCCTACTTGGTGAATAATTGGCAGAGTTTTGTGCTTAATAAAGATTTTGGGCTTTGGTGGGGGTTCGAGTTTTCATCCCAAAACTAAAAATGGAAGCGTCCATTGGCTAACCTTTGGTCTAGCTAGCTGAAATTTTGTATTTTCTACTCCTCAAGATCTCAGATTGAGTTTGTAGTTTAAATGAAGTGACACGATGTTATGACAAGAGAAGTTAGAATTTGAGGATTTTTTATGGAAGGGGCTATTCATTGTCTGAGAAAGATGAAATCACTGGAAAAAAGAAGACTACTTTTGGAGGTATTTTATTTGGTGAAAGGTGCTATAGCTTGCAGGAGATGCAATTTGCTAACTGTATTGTTGAGGCAGCATAGTTTCCGTAGCAAATGTGTTTCCAAAGGAGAGAAGTCTTTGTGTTTCGTAGGCTTCATTCTCTGGGTGCATATAGAAGTGTCTGGTTTCCTAATTTTAGTATGTGGAACTACAGTATGTTAAGCCTGGCAGCCTTGCAACTGAAATTTTTTTCCCCCCTCCCCTCCTTGTTGTGTAGTTTACTTTTTCCAAGGTTGCAGCGTTGCAGGATATGCTACAGTCACGAATTGTGATACATCATGGCTGTCATATGATAGGTGTTTGTTACATGTTATCTATTATGTTTTCCTTTGCATGCACGTCTTGTGTTTTGAGCGTTACATGGAATGCCGGTTATTAACAGATTATTTTATTGCAATTAATGCTAAAGATTTTTTTTCCTAGTCGTGCACTAGGTTTTGCTTTTCCTGTTATTATTTTCATAAGTTGGGAAAACTTTCGACACCAACTTACACGTGAAAAAAAAAACCAGCGGCAGAACTGAAACTTTTGCTGACAACTGGTTAGGAAAAGCATTTAACTTTACATTAGTGGTTGGTATACCACCCTTAGATAACTTAGGCATGCTTTTCTTTTTTTCCTAACGCTTTCTCCATTTATTAGTTTTGGAATTCTGGTAGAACACTTAACTTTCTTACTCATGTGTGTTTGCAGGTGTTCCCATTTGGGTCAGTACCTCTAAAGACATATTTACCTGATGGAGATATTGATTTGACTGCCTTTGGCGGTCTTAATATTGAGGAGGCTTTGGCTAACGACGTCTGTTCGGTCCTTGAAAGAGAGGAACAAAACAAGGCTGCAGAATTTGTTGTGAAGGATGTGCAATTGATCCGGGCAGAGGTTTTTACCATTTCATCCACACGTTAACTAAAGTTCTTTGCTGCATACTATGATGATGTACACATAACATGTGTCTATATAAAAACACTTATATATACATATACATGAATACCTAAACACTTACATATGCATATACATGAATACCTAAACACTTACATATGCATATACATGAATACCTAAACACTTACATATGCATATACATGAATACCTAAACACTTACATATGCATATACATGAATACCTAAACACTTACATATGCATATACATGAATACCTAAACACTTACATATGCATATACATGAATACCTAAACACTTACATATACGTATACATGAATACCTACATGATTACGTATACACATGTATTCATGTGTTTTTACTCCGCTTCAAATAGAACTCTATCCTATCATCGTTATCATAGTTGCACATGTCTTCACTTATTGCCAACACATGGCGCATCACTTGTTGCCATCCAAGATTTGGTAGATTTAATTGTTATCAGTTCGCTTGTTTATTTCTTTTCTTATTCATTTTTACTCATATCAGATTTCTTATTTGTTTGTTGACTTTGTTTGAGGAAATTTCTTGTTGAATGTGAAAGATACTTGCCCATACATTAGTTTTATGATTTTTACAATTGAGATACATATGCGATGGCCATGTTTAATAGAGGATCTTGGATTATTAGGTTAGCTATGGTTTGCCATATCTATTTAGGATTAGTCTTATCTCTTTTTGAATCTTTGTTTTTCTAGTTAGATTAGGATTGACCGTCTATAAGTATAATTGATTACGCTAAACATTTGAACCTTTTGGGTAAATGTTTGTCGACATTTCCTTTAGAACAACATTCCTTGTGGGCAATGGTTGTCAAAAGCAAATATGGATTACACCCTAATTGTTGCAGAAACTTATCGATCATCATCTACTTCACTGTCCCAGGCCTGGAAATTATGGTACAAATTACTGAGCGAATTAGGATTCTTTGTGTTTTTCCTGCCCATTGAAATTTCTTCTTGCTGGAGAAAACTGTGGGGTTCGGATCTAATAAGATGGCTAGACTGTTGTGGCAATATTTGGTGATATACTTCTTTGGATGATTGTTTTCAAAGAAAAAGAATTAGAAATGACAGGTCTTTTTGAGAAAGTAAAATTTTCAGCATCTTTATGGGCAACAACGGATAAAGCTTTCAATGATTTTTTCTATTCTCTAATTGTTTTAAATTGGACGGATGCCATTGGTGATATGTGTCATGACTATTCTCTTTAGCTTTTGTGTGTGTGTGTGTGTGTTTTTTTTTTTGTTATGCTTTTCTCTTTCGCGTTTTTAGAGAATTGCTTTCCTCTTTTCTTTGTACGTGGTGTCATTGACTCATTATCAATAAAATGAAGTTCTCTTGTAAAAGGAAAAAAAAAGGGGAAAAAGTTTACTTATTCCTTATTCTGAGTTTCTTCTCCTCCCTAAATCTCTATGTTTCTCTTTCTTATTTCATTCCTATGGACAATAATGAATATAGTCTCGTCTTCACGATTCCTTTTATCTGCTTATTCATTCTTTTTCTCATTGACCTTTTTTTCGTTGAATCATAAACTTGAATGACATTCTAAAAGTAACATATGATATTCCACCAGCACTTGAGGTCTCTCTCTATCTATCTCTCTCTCTCTCTCTCTCTCTCTCTCTCTATTGGTGAGGATTTGATAGGATTATGTTAGTAATTAGTAATCAATATAATAAGTGGTTAGTGGTTTGTTATTAGGGTTGGTTTGTTATGTTTGTTAAGCTAGTTAGTAGTAGTATATAATTAGGGTTGGTTTGTTATGTTTTTTAAGCTAGTTAGTAGTAGTATATAAGGAATAGAAAGAGACTAAAGGTGGGGGATGGATTAGAGTAAACTGGGAAAACTCTTGGGAGAGCTAGCAGACCTCTCGAACGTCTGCCAATCTATCTTGTAATCTCTTTCAATTACTTCATCAATATAATTTTGCTTTTCTGTTCAATTCCTCAATTCAAGTTCGGTTCTTATTAGGATTTTCTTTTTCTTTTTCTTTTTTTTTTATTTGAAAAGAAATGAAAACCTTTGTTAATGAAGAAAGAGGGAACAAGGAACAAATAGGAAGAGTTATCCTCCACTCATCCAGTTCCAAAAATACGGGATAATCAAAACTAAATCAAATTAAAGGTAAAACTTCGATGGTTTGTAGTTTGGTTACAGGATAAACAAGGAACAGTGAGGATTTTCAGTCCCTAATAGTAAAATTTTCGATGGTTTATAGTTTTTGACATGTATTCCTGTAAGCTCTTCTTTTCAATTTAAAGGTAAAAGAATATGTGTAGGAGGTTTTAAGCTAACCTTCTTGGCTCGGATTTCTAAGATTATTGTATAATCTTACCCTGCATTTGATAAAGACTAGTGACCTGAAAGTACAAGTTCTCCACTATTCTAGGAGTGATGGTTTTGAGGTTGTAGAGGCATACTTCGATGCTCATGCACTTGCAGGTTGTGTGGTTTTACTTCTAGTGATAAAATGTCATCTAGCCTGCTCTTCTTTTTAGTTGACTTTTCTTCTTCTTGTTGGTTTTGTTCATTGTTTCATGATTCAGTTGAAATTTTGTATGACCGTTTCATAGCTTGTTATCTTTGTTCTAAGACCTTTGGGTTTTTGGGTGGCAGGTTAAGCTTGTGAAATGTCTTGTACAGAACATTGTGGTTGATATTTCGTTCAATCAGTTGGGAGGGCTTTGTACATTATGCTTTCTTGAGCAGGTAGTCAGGCTTATGACATCCATATAACTTTAAACATTCTATGTTTTAAAGCTCTAAATTGATATATCCTTTGGAAGGTCTAACCTGTTGTCTACACTTGTCTTTATGAGTTGCTTTTACGTCCTCATGATCTTTTTTCATTATAAATAAAGGTAATTAGTTCTAAGGTAAAATGTATTGGCTTCAAGCAATGTTGTCGAACCTAAATGGAATCATAAATCATTCTTTTCTCTCTCTCTCTCTCTTTATGTAGCAAACAAATTTCTGAATCTCTACCTCAAAACATTGACCCTTATTTTTTCTTTGGTAATGACTAATATCCTTTGTCCTTGTGTGTTGAACTTTTAAACTTTAATCTTTGAGTCATGCTCTTAAGATCCAAATAGCACAAGCATTAGCTGGCTTTTTTCTTTCTTTTTTTCTTTTTCTTTTTTTTTTTTTAGTAAATTGGTTTATAGGAAATTTAGAGCCTTTTGGGAGTGTTGTTAGAATGGTTTTGTTTTGGGTATGGAAATGAAAAAGAATCTTTAGATAATCACTCGAACACAATTTCATAAAGGAGTGCAACACCATTCCCAAAACGGATGGGAAGTGTGTTGGTATCATTTTTGAAGTTGTGTCTGGTTGTTTTTTCTAGAGATATCGTTTTGACTATAAGTTAAAAGTAGACTGTATTTGGTTATGTTTTTGAAAATATATGTTGAGTATGTAAAACATAAAAAATGAAAATGGCACAAGGACATCTACTCTAGAGCATTTCCATTTTCTTAACAGAGTATCAATACAATTTTTCATTTTTGTTTCCATTTCCAGTAAAATGGAACCAAACAATTTCAAAACCATTTCCAACTTGCACTCCCCAGGAAGCGTTAGCAAACATTTCCAAAATAAGTGCTACCAAACGGCCCCCAACATTTTCTTATTTTCATTTTTTTATTGTTTGATATTTAAAAGTTTGTAGGTTTGATAAATCAACTTATTTTTCACATTTTCAAAATTGAAAATATTTTTTTATCAACCGTGGAATCATAAGATTTGATTGTGTGGGGAATACAATTGCATCATCCGATTCATTTATTTCAAGATTCATTTTTAAGATTTTTATCGTTATAGTTTGATTTAGATTCGTATTTTATGATATGTGTTAAAATATAAAAACTATTGTTGGCACACCTCCTAACAGCTTAAGTTTTTGGGATGGATTGTTAAACTAACATGGTATCAGAGCGGGAGGTCCTGAGTTCAAACTCCTGTAATTGCAATCTTTATCCCCATGTAAATTGTCACCATGTGTTGGGTTTTTAATATATCTCGGGCTTAAATATTCACGTGTTGGGCTTTCCAATTAATTTACCCATACGATTGCCCATTGTCCAGCCCACACGTGAGGGGGAGTGTTAAAATATAAAAACTATTGTTGGCACACCTCCTAACAGCTTAAGCTTTTGGGATGGATAATACAATTGCATCATCCGATTCATTTATTTCAAGATTCATTTTCAAGATTTTTATCGTTATGGGTTGATTTAGATTTGTATTTTACGATATTTATAATTTATTTTAGGATTATTATCACCTATGCCCTCTGAACTTTTTAGTCAACCCCACTTTGCCTCCTGAACTTTGAAAATTCCTACTTTACTACTTTAAACTTTCATGAACTTCAACTTTGCCCCTTTCGTCCAAATTTCTATTTAAAAGAGATGGAAAACGTCTTTACTTGTACTCACGCGCATGGTATTTGAGGGTAAAATCATAATTGAATTTTTGGTGATTTGCACCTATGCCCCCTAAGTTTAGGGGGCATAAGTGCAAACACCGGAAATTTGGACGGAAGGGGCAAAGTGGAAGTTTGTAGAAGCTTATGGTAGTAAAGTGAGAATTTTTAAAGTTCAGGGGGTAAGTGGGGGTGACCCCAAAGTTCAGGGGGCTTAGGTGATAATAATATTTTATTTTAAGTTTTTGACAAGTAACAACTATGAAGCAAGCATCATCATATCATTTGTTTTTATTTTTTTATTTTTTATCTTCTTATTTTATGCTTCAATGTATCTGGTATAGTTTGAACATAGTCTCTTATCTTCCTCCTGCAATTTGTAGCTTTATTTTTGTTTCAATATTTCTACCTTAGATGATATGCTTAATCATTAGGAGATGAAACATAAATTGATTCTGATTTGAAAACAATGTTCTTGAACATTTTAGCGAATTTATAACTATGTCTCCTCTCATGCAATTTATATGTTTGTTGCGACAGGTTGATGTCCTTATTGGCAAAGACCATCTTTTCAAACGAAGTATCATACTTATTAAGGCTTGGTGCTATTATGAGAGCCGTATTCTTGGTGCTCATCATGGTTTGATTTCTACATATGCTTTAGAGACTTTGGTTCTATATATCTTCCATCGCTTCCACTCATCCTTGAATGGCCCTTTAGCGGTGAGTGCTTCAAGAAATTTCCTACTTGCATACCTTGCATAAAAGTTTGTTACAGAATATTAACTGTTGATTTTTATAAACCTTGTAGGTATTGTATAAATTTTTGGACTACTTTAGTAACTTTGACTGGGATAACTACTGCATTAGCTTGAATGGTCCAGTACGGATATCCTCACTTCCAGAAATTATGGGTGAGTAACATTCTTTTGCATTTTCCTCAGAGAACGTTTCCCCCTACAGTCAAAATACTTATCTTAGTTTCTTACACAGCGGGGATACCTGAAAATGGTGGTCATGACCTATTGCTCACTGATGATTTTCTCAAGGGATGTGCTGAAATGTTCTCAGCTCCTTCAAGAGGATATGAGACAAGCTCTCGATTATTCCCTTCAAAGCATCTAAACATTGTTGATCCATTGAAAGAAAATAACAACCTTGGGCGCAGTGTGAGCAAAGGTAATACCGTCCAGTTAGACGACCTTGACCCTTTCCTTTTTAAAATTGAGTACAAGTGCCATTTCCCCACCTTCTTGTAAGGTGTCCTGAGGGAAATACTGATCTGTTCATCTGCAAATAAAATTCGTTTAGGTTCCACAAGTATCATGACTAAGTTGCTGAAGCCTGTGATATTGTTGGCATACGATGAAATGTTGCTTTAAATGCTCTTCGACCAAATTAATTTGACAAAATGGTTTAAGGTAAAATTTCTTATTATATGCAGGAAATTTTTATCGAATAAGGAGTGCTTTCACATATGGTGCTCGGAAACTGGGGCACATTCTTTCCCAGCCTGAAGAGAACATTGGTGATGAAATTCGAAAGTTTTTCTCTAACACATTGGAAAGGCATGGAAAGGGGCAAAGGCCTGATGTTCAAGATCATCTCCCTATGTCTGGACATGATGAACTTAGTGCTGCATCAATTTTCGGTACAGGGTTGCGAGAAAGTCAGACAGTTTATGAAATAGAATCTTCCTATTCAGGTGACATAACCGGCGAATCTAGTTTGGATCATGAAGGATCGTTGCAGGGTGGAATCAGTGATGTTGAGATATCGGGGACAGAAGTAATCTCTGCTAGATTTGTGAATGGACCACACACAGAGTCTTTAGATTGGATCATGAAGGATCGTTGCAGGGTGGAATCAGTGATGTTGAGATATCAGGGACAGAAGTAATCTCTGCTAGATTTGTGAATGGACCACACGCAGAGTCTTTAGCAATGTCGTCCACAGACTTGTCTAAACGTGACAGTTCTTTAAATGGGACTATTGTTTCCGACAATCGTCTTAAGGGGGATGCAAAAGACCTTGCTACATTGAGACTTCAAAGTCTTACTATTCCAAACGATGCACCAAAATCTTCCCCTACTAGTGTTGAGGCAAACACATCCCCTTTGAATAATGCACATTATGCGCCTCATCTATATTTTACTCATTCATTCATCAGAAATGGAGAAATGAATGGTTATCAGCATATTGAACAAGCAGAACATGATAAATCTGCAGAGAATACAGCTGGTGACCAGGATGAAAACCAGTTGGTGAGAGATCATAAGGCTTCGTCTCCAGTTGGATCAAAGCAACATCTTTCACGATTGAGTTCAATTGCTTTATCCTCTGAAGACTTTTATCCAAGTTATTCTCGTTATAGGATGTCTGCTGTTTTATCGGGAGCTCCTGATCCTTTCCAAACTTCGTCAGATCTCAGTGGGGATTATGAAAGCCACCTTAGCAGTTTGCATTATGGTAGGTGGTGCTACAAATATGCATTAGCTGCATCTGTTCCTTCCATCCCGCCTATTATTTCCCAGTTTCAGAGCAAGAAATCATGGGAGGTAATACGGCGGTCTGTGCAGCTTAAGCAGAGTGTTTTTTCTCAAATCAACAATGGTGTGGTCCCTCAACCGACTTTTTATTCTATGAACCCGCCATTATTACCTGGTGGCATAGGATTTGCGGTGGAGGAGATGCCAAAGCCACGGGGAACAGGGACATACTTTCCCAATATGGTAAACATATTCTAAGCTTCTGAATTGTTCAATATTTATTTACTTTTATTTGAAAACCAAAAATCTAAGTTATATTGAGGACCGTAGTTGTGTCATGTTGGGTACTCGTTTCAGTTTAGGTGGTGGGCCATCTCATCTGAAGTGCTTTTCTGTAAAAACTTTTGCAGAATCATTACAGGGATAGGCCCATGACACCAAGGGGAAAAAACCAAGCGCCGGTGAGATCTCCCCGTAACAATGGCCGTTTGGTAACACTAGCTACAGAAAATGGTTTTCCTGAGAGAAGCGGTCATGATAATGCACAAGCACAAATTTTTGCGCATAAAGGCTATGGAAAGTCTGGTTCTTCGGATGACCCCTCTGATTCCCCTCGGAGGAAGGTCAACTCTAATGGCAATGGTGCAATGCATCAGCCAGAGCCTTTGGTTGAATTCGGGTCAATTGCACATATGCCATCAGAGGCGCCCTTGCTTAGAGGAAGCTGGCAAACAAACACTGGGCTGGCTCTCATACAAAATTCGGGCTCAAGCCTTGCCTCACCTGGAACAGAGAAGCTGAAACCTGTGCTGAGTATGGATAAAGATAGGTATGAATTTAAATTTTGACTGAAATTCAAACCATTATTATTGCAACATACTTGGGACTCTTGCCTGATTGGTTGTTCTGGGCCTGTAGGATTGCTGTACAATCATATGCTTTGAAAGATGAAGATGATTTCCCTCCTTTATCTGTCTAACCGCAAGAGCGAGTTGAAATCTGTTTATTCTGGTTTTAAAAAGGCTTTCGGGTATTTTGGTGAATCTATCAAACCTGCTTGAGCCTAAGCTTCCTTGCCTCAATAGCTCTCAACCCTTTTGGAAACTCCATATGCACTTTGATATTCTTCCTCTTAAAAGGGAAACTTTCTGTACATTTCTGCTAATTATTCCGCTCTCACAAGTATCTTGGCATCATTGCTTTACTTTGAGGTGTTGTTTATATATAGGATGTTTAATTTTATGGGTTCCTTCCGGTATTGTTTTTTGACTGTTACCCTGTAGGTAGAAGTTTGAAACACAACACTTTGTTGCTGTTGACTGACGTAGCTTGTAATATTGATCTTTTGCAGCTTGTAGTATTATTTATATGATTTGCAAGTTACAAGTTAATATCAACTCGTCCCTTTCTCTTCCGTTGTTTTGTTATCCAAAATGCAATTACTATTGTTGCAGCCGGTGGACTACTGGTTGCAAATTTCGGGGTTCAGTGTCTAAATGGCGGGCCTGGAAAATTTTCATTGGTGTCATGAAAAAAGTTGGATATAACTTTTTTTATTCAACGATAAGAACACTTGTATATTTCAATTACTGAGTGAGTACAAATATAATTTTTCTTTTGTAGGTGGTATAACAAATTCTTATATAAAAATTTAAGGATAAAAATTAAATTTCTAAAACTTGAATGGTGATGTATATACTACTCATTGCTATGTGGCTTTGACATTGGCTACTTGGTGGCAGAATAATGCTCTGTTAGGGTTTTACCGAGCACGAGTGTCGCCGCCACCTTTGATCCGTTTGTGAGTTTCTTTGATGAACCCCTGTCGGTCATGCAGCCCAGGCTGCCATTTTGCCAGTCATGTTGCTGCAAGCTGAATGGGTTTTGTTCTCAGGCCATCTTGATGCTTACACCATCTTGACGCTTACACGCCTGTTAGGCAGTAACAACATTTGTCTCCGTCATTAACTGTAATAGCGTTTATCTTTGTCATAACTTTGTCTGACTTTCCGACAGCTTTGCCCAAATGTTCAACACGAAGCTTAAAGGCCAAAATGCCACTAAGCACGCCATTTCTTACCAATATCATCGTTGCCTGGTGCCGTCGTCATCCTCGTTCATTCAACTTTCGGTCATCAGCTTTGACTACACCGTTGTTGTCCTGTTGCTTTTGTCGGCCTCAGCATATGTTCGTCTATAACATGGACCTCAGTCGAACGCTTGCTTCATAAGGTAATTGTTGCAACCAATGTCCCCCATTCTCAGAGGTAATGCTTCCAATGGGGTGATCCTGCACTTCATTAACAAGGTGGTTGCTTCCACTTGGTGGAGCCAATTTGAGTTGGGTCAAACGGGCAGGCTCGGAGGCCAACTCTTTGCCTGGAGCTCGGGATGCCTAGCCCTAGCCCTCAGGCCGTGCTAGGTTAGATCTTTAGCCCCAAAATCTAACGTGGAATATTAAACAATCAAAGAAACCACGGTATGCAGCTATACTAGAGTGTCGCCGCCACCTTTGATCCGTTTGTGAGTTTCTTTGATGAACCCCCGTTGGTCATGCAGCCCAGGCTGCCATTTTGCCAGTCATGTTGCTGCAAGCTGAATGGGTTTTGTTCTCAGGCCATCTCGATGCTTACACCATCTTGACGCTTACACGCCTGTTAGGCAGTAACAACATTTGTCTCCGTCATTAACTGTAATAGCGTTTATCTTTGTCATAACTTTGTCTGACTTTCCGACAGCTTTGCCCAAATGTTCAACACGAAGCTTAAAGGCCAAAATGTCACTAAGCACGCCATTTCTTACCAATATCATCGTTGCTTGGTGCCGTCGTCATCCTCGTTCATTCAACTTTCGGTCATCAGCTTTGACTACACCGTTGTTGTCCTGTTGCTTTTGTCGGCCTCAGCATATGTTCGTCTATAACATGGACCTCAGTAGAACGCTTGCTTCATAAGGTAATTGTTGCAACCAATGTCCCCCATTCTCAGAGGTAATGCTTCCAATGGGGTGATCCTGCACTCCATTAACAAGGTGGTTGCTTCCACTTGGTGGAGCCAATTTGGGTTGGGTCAAACGGGCAGGCTCGGAGGCCAACTCTTTGCCTGGAGCTTGGGATGCCTAGCCCTAGCCCTCAGGCCGTGCCAGGTTAGATCTTTAGCCCCAAAATCTAACGTGGAATATTAAACAATCAAAGAAACCACGGTATGCAGCTATACTCTCTAATAAACAGGTACCATTCTTGTATTCTTCTAAATCCACCAAGCTAGTTCAGAAAGGGGTATATACTTCAACATGCATATATCTAAAGCAGTCTATAGAAACACGTTTCTGGAATGTCAATTGGCTTTACTTGGGTGGCTTTTTCTCTCAAAGGATGATCAACCTTGGAAGGTCCTTAAGCTGAAAACCAAACTTCAATTCACGTGGAATTTATATGGCGATTGGAAAATTATTTCATTGGAAGAGGTTTTTTTCGCTTTTAATTTTCTTCTTTGGAAGAAACGATTAGGGTTTGGGCCATGGGAACTTGTATAATTCAACAAGACATTCTCCGTCTGTAGAAGTGAACTGCAGATTTTAAACCTTATTAGGAAAAATTATCGAACATGCAAGCTTCGGTGAGATTTCTTGATCTTGCTTGGAAATATTGGGATCCACATATTCTTCTTCAAATTTCTTATGGTATTGGCACGCCAATTCGTCTTTGACAGAAATACTATAGAAGGAGTTTACGGCCATAATGCCCATGTTCATGTCGATATTGATTTATTTGTTGCTTTATATTTTGATACGTTGCATGTTGAAAGAGGGATTTTATCTGCTCATTTCGGTGGAGTATATGAGAACTCGTCAGATTGTTGCACAAATGCTCCTCTATTAGTCACTTTAATTTGAATGGCTATCAATATCAAGACCAAAATAATAAAGACATAGATTACTGCCGGAAGTAGTCAAGTCTACGACCCAATTGTTAAATCCTCCTAGGATAATAATGTCGATGCCAAAGATGCTAATGTTGCAGCCAAAACTACAACCACTATAGCAACTAATGTGACATCTATTCACGTGGAGTCCAAATACTAAACATTAAACAACAACATAACATGGCTGGGCCTGTAGAATTTGGAACAACGATATCCAACAAATTCAGTTCCCTTCCTGTGGAAACATTTGAGGACGATTCAAGCGTTCAATCTCATAGTAAATATGGGGAGCTTGATGTAACTCTTTCATAGAACAATTTTGAGCAATGAAACCCAGATCGTAGCCCGAACACTGTTAACATGGACAAAAGCCTTTACACGCCCTCTATTAGTAATTCCCTGTGTGTTCCCACTAACACCCTTGAGATTTCGTCATTGAATATTAGACCTCTGGTGCCGTCCGCGTAAGCGGTATCAATTTGGAGGTTAGTCCTTCTTATGAGAAAATTATAGAATTTACTTTCAAAAGTACATGAATCTGGATTTTCTTTCATTTTTTATTAATACTCTTTTACTAGTATAGTTATTTGAGTAAAAAGGTAATTAATAAAGAGTAAAATGTAGAAATCTTGATCCATATACTTTAAAGGGGTATTTGTCTCATTTTCCTTAGTCTTATCGGTCATAGTGTCATTTATAATTTATCAAACGAATTCTCTATAGAGAAGAAATAAACAATCTTGAGAAGATCTAGTAGACCAAGTCCTTTTCTGAAAGAAGAAGTCTTGAAGCGAATAATGAATAAGAAACCAACAATCGCATCTTGCTCATAAAGAGGCGAAAATTGTTTATTTGGGTTCTTGGGAAGAATTGGTAGATCTTGGTATTTTGAGGAAAAAAATGATCACAACAATCTTAAAAAAAAAAAAAAAGTCATCCTACCAACTTTGAGCCTCTAGTGGAAAGAGTTGTAAAATGAGAAAGTCTTGGGTTTTTTCTCATAGGTTGCTTTTTTTATATTTTATTCTTTTTTTTTTCCGTTTGCATAATTTAGTTTCTGTTTTTGTTTTATTTGACCTTTTTTTATATTAAATATAATATTTGCATAGTGAAGAAAAAAGTGGCTCCAGCACTCATCGTGGAAGGCAAAAAAAAAAAAAAAAAAAAAAAAAGGTTGACCGAGTTCTAGTGCATTACGAATGCAAGCCATGCGTATTTCGCCTTTAACTTCTAGGTCTGAACTTTGGTTTACTTGTAAAAAATAAAACTGAGAAAAAAAAAATCCCCCTTCAAATTAGACATCGAATTAGAAACCTGTACGTGTGCTAGTGATACGTAATAGACCTAAAAATTGTTGTAAATAACAACTTCTATACTATAATAATCACAATATCTTTGATGAGTTGTGCACAAAATCACCATCATGAAATGCAATATTGTAGGTCCCTCTCTCTTCCCATGAATTTCCTTTCTCTTGTCTCTGCACACGCGTTCAATACCCAGAGAGAAACACTAATAGAAGACTGAGATTGCTGAGGTTTTAGTAGTTAGATTTTATTTTCTGTTTGGAAGTTAGAACTGGGGTACCAAGTCTATAACCTTAGAATGAAAAACAAATGCCGTCCAACTCTCAATTAATTTGCTTTATTTTTTTCCTTTTTAATGAACAAGAACAAAGAATCCGTACTTTATTAAGTATTGTTTAGCAAACTATCCAAAGTACTTGGCAAAAACACAACCATCTATTAAATTTCATGACAACATCTGTATATATATGTTTGATTATTCAGTAGTACTTACAATAATATATATATATATGTATGTATGTATATGTGTACATATATAGCATAAACAATGTAAATATAAACTTCAATAATTGAGAATTCTTTTTAACTCAAGATAGGGTGGCACAGCTGCTAACCAAAGCTTGGCTATATTTAATAGTAATGTGATTATATATAAAAAGAAGACTAATATATTCCTCCTCCAATTGATCCATATAAGTCAGCTCACAAGTACTTGATTCAGTTTTTTTTTTTTTGGCTAGTAAGTACTACTTGATTCTTAAATGTGCAAGAGTAAGCACTAAAATAAATGGGATAGGATGAGTAGACGAATTCATTGGTAAACAATATGTTCTTAAGTTTACTAGTGACTAATCTAACTTAAGATTTAACCATTTATGGAAAGCTTTTGGTAATGATTCTTTTTATTTTTATTTTTTCACAGAAGAAAAACACTCCACCAAAAACCATTGCGTTTAATTTGATTGCATACAAATTTGTTATCTTATCTTTCAGATTTACCCTCAAGCATTACTAGAAATATTTGAATTTGAGGCTGAGAGATTAGAATTCTACATTTCATGATGGAGTTAAATATAGAATTACCGTTAGGTTACTTTATTCTCGTTTTAATATTTGGTTGGCTGAATGGGAGTTTACTAGAGTAAATAATATAAACGTAAACTGCATTAAACTGTTTATAAACG